TAGTGTGTTTTTGTGTGAGCAATACTGTACATGACTACCACAAACTGCAGTTACATGGCTGCATACATCCCACGTGGGTGCATGAAGTGAAACAGAATCTTGCCCAAATTATACTTCAGCCAGAAATAAATTGTTTACTGTGCATTTACCTCTACATACTGCTGATAATGGATCTGGAAACTTCTTAGTATAACTTCTATGGATCCAGCTTAGCTCCTCTTTCTGGTGCCTGGTATTACCAGTGGATTTCAGATATTTCAGTCCCTACCCTATATCACTTATGGTCGTACTTGTTGATTACAAAGCCATATTACCCATACATCAAAGACATCAGACTGTCTTATAGTTTGATATGGTATAATAAACTTTTATTATGGGTAGAACAAATGTAGGGGGAAGATTTAATAACTTGTTTAATTTGGAAAGGGGAAACAAGAAGCTTATTATAGGTTAGGAGTCAAGGTCATAATAACTGAGAAGTGATTAAGTCTATTAAGCACAGTGTTCTTTTTAAAAAGTTTTAAATGCACTGCAAGTTCTCTCTTTAATGCAGTAAAATGCCATTCCTCAACTCGTAATTGAAGTAAAGCTGCAGCAAATGAAAGCTTTGATAATTATAAATATTACTTTGATATGTAAAGTGTGTTGTCTCACAGGGTAAGGAGTTAAAAAAAAGAAAATCTTTGCTATTACTTAAAAGCTAAAACAACATTGGTGCAAAGGCCTTTGATTGATTTTTCATGTAGGTATCTAGATGAATTGATTGCACTAGGCATTCATATTTAAAACTTCTTCCAGAAAGGCAAACTAATTATCATCACTCAGAATTGAAGCTTCATAAAATGTGAATGGAAAACTATTGTCATTCTCTGGCCTTACAGATTTTTGCACAGCAAATATAGGGACACTTTTCATCTTAATGCTTGCAACTCTTTCAGGATAAGTTGTTCTGATTCACTAAAAAACCCACTGTTAGAATGGTGTTGGGACACTCCACAAAAGTATTGAGCAGCTACCTCCTACATCACAATGGAGCCAAAGTGAAATATGGACAGTGTGATTTTCATATCATATTAACAGAGACATGGGTAATCTTTTCTGTTGCAACAAGACACAGAACATAAGTTTCACATCCAGAACCATCTTCTTTAGGTGTACAGAATTTGAATGGTGAATCTTGTTTAATCGTGCTGGGTGCATTTACACATGTAATTAGTACATAAATAACTCCAGTGCAGTTCGCGCTGGAGTTTATTTCTCCAGGGTGCAAAGTTTACACGTGATCCTGGGACCACAGCACATTGATCTGGGGTGGAGAAGCCTGGACTGGCATGGGACCCAGGGAGATCAGCCCACCAGCCCGGGGCTGCTCCACCCGAACTCAACTTGCTGTGGAGGGGCTGGCTGGGGCACAAGGGTGCTACAGTGAGGGGCTAGGAAGCAGGCAAACCCTGCACTGTAGCATCCTTGTACACCAGGCAGCCCCAGTCACTATCTACACATGCATTTTGGCACATGTAACTACTCTGCCTTAGAATAGCACTTGCCCTGGACAGTACTATCTTATAGTGGAGTTAATTAATTTACTGAGCCCTAATACAGGCCCATGTGTAGACAGCGACACTTTACTGTGAAGCTAATTAGTCAGCTCCTCAGCAAAGTGCATGTATAGATGCACCCACAGGGCAGGTCCAGATGAGCATGCATGTGCATTTCCCCGGGGACAAACAGCAGTGGCACATAGTTGTACTGCTGCTACTTGTCCCCAAGGAATGCCCCTGCATGAGCGCTCTGGCATGTGGCAAATTGCCCTGCATAGGGTAGGAGAGACTGGGGCCAGCACCTGGGCTGACCCCAGCAACCTTACCTGGGATCCTGGGGGCCCACTGGGGTTCCAGCACTGGTGATCTGGGTGGTCGTAGCCTGGCTGGCAGCTGGAGTGTGGGTCATCAGATGATTGGGCTGGGGTCTGTCTGAAGCCCCTGCTTTTGCACAGCTCCAGAGCCCAGTGGGTTAATGTTGCTGCTGTTTGCCCTTTCTCTCCCTCCCTCTCCTTACTGAATTCAGTAGCAGAAGAAGGGAGGGGATGAGTGGCAGCAGCAGTACTTACACTGTGGGCTCCAGTGGGGGATCTTGGCAGAACCTGTGCTAAGAGCTCACATGTAACACATCCAAAGGGGGCATGTCTGTGCCACTGTATACCCCTCTGGATCCACTCTTGGTTCTTATATAGGGCTAGAGAGGGATATAACATTGTGGTAGGGTGTTTTTTTTCAGCTACACAGAACCAGAACTGCAAAAAAGTTGAGTGCATATATGTACACTTGGGCAAGAGCTTTGTAGCTGTCCTAAAATAGCAACAAAAGTGTGCCTTAACTTTTTTTTTCAAGCTTAATAATAGTATGTTTTAGTTTGGAGCTTTACTGTTGTACAAGATGGAATAGTGGAATTTCATGTCTTGACATCTGTTTATGAAGGCACTCATAAAACAGAGGCACTATAAACAGACTTAGTAGAGTTAATCTTCCAAGGAAGGACCTGAGGGTACAGTGTGCTTTTAGATAGATTGGGTAGCAATGGGTCAGCAGAACAGATGGGTCTACAAATGGAACAGACACTTTTCACAGGCACTTCAAGAGTGCTCACTTATATATACAGTTGTTTAATAAACATCACTTTATGAATCAAAGGTCTAGAATACTCCCTTTGAAGTCATTGAGTGTGTGAAGAGGGTTTGCAGGATCAGGCTCCCAAAGAATAAATGGATTCACTATTTTGCTTTGGCTTAAAATATTACTTGACATTTTGTAAGTATGGCTGAGGGTGGCAGTTATCAGAGCAGCAAGCAGCTCACAGTTTCAGCCCTGGATATTTAGCTTTATCTCACTTCATGAGTTTCCCAGTCAATTTGTTCAGAATGCAACTGCAACCCAACAAAGAACACCCACAATTTTGCACAAAATATATTTTGTTCACAGAGGAATAGCAAATTACTGTGGGAAAGTAGTATCATTAAAATATCTGTTACAGGGAAAGATGCAATTTTAAGTCTAGCAGGAAATGGATTAGGTAAGAATTCACTAAAACAAGGTTCCTTATCAAACCAAAAAGTGTCCTATTGCCTTTCCATGCTATTCTGAGCAAGCTGCATTTTGCTCAATACTTTTATTCTGCAGAAGTAAAACACAAACTATTTTTCTAGATCTAGTTTTCAGTCTACTAACATTTCATACTTAGCCTATGCTTTAATGAAACCAGAAAATAATATTTTGAAAAGCTACATTTAATTTTTTGAGATATTCTTTCAATTAAAAATACTCCGCAGGCACTGAGAAGCAGTGATGAGATGCACTAGTATTTTGAAGAACATAACTAATTTACTCATATTTGAAGTTGCCAGGATATTAGTCCTTGTTTTTTTTTACAGGATTTTAGCTTAGTTTCCATCTGAGGATACAAAGGACTGATCTTCAAGCTTCTACTGTCCATTTTGTTCAAATGCATATGAGATAGATGCATACATTTTTGGAATAAGTTTAATTGGTCTCACAAGAGAAAAAAATGCCTTTTATGGTTGTAAATATGCTTTACTTCAAAATGTGTTATCCTGCTTTTGTCTGAATCACTTTTTATCAGTCAAAGGACACTGAAAACTGATTTCTACTTGATTTTCAGTGACTTTTGCCTGCTTAGTAATTACGTTAGTGACTGTTTGTCAAAAAATAATAGCTGAACACTGTAAAAATATTTAAAATGTTGCAAAATAAATAGTTTAAGAATTCAGTATGTGAAACATTCCAGAATTCAAAATGTTTTTCCAGGTTAAAATCTACTGGGCAGCTGGGGGGAAAAAAACCACCCACTTCCCCCAACAAAATCTCTAACCTTTGTCATATTTCTTAATTGCTTTGATTTAAATCCACTACAGTCACTTGAGCTGCCATATTGCTCTATACAGAACAACATTTTTAGTCCCTAATTCACACTCAGTGGCAATCTTCTATAGGTAAGGACTGCCAGATTTAGTTTTGTGGGAATACAACCTCGTCTTTTGCCTGAAAATAATTTGAACGGGGGGATGTAAAAAACCCCAAGAAAACATGGGTGAACTTTGTATTAAATCACAATCTGCAAAAAATCACATATCCCTAGTGTTATTAAATAGTGAACTTACTCATACCTATCAACTACAGCCTGCTACAACAACACAAAGAAGCAGAAGTCTTGCCCAGTTTCAAGTAAACTATTTTAGAAATCAGTTACCACCGTAAGTGTTTCCAGTCGAAACATGACAGTTAAAGGCTTTGAAATGCTTTAAAAGTTCTACTTGTAGCCATCTCAGAGATTGGTAATAGATCTGAGTATTCTTGTAAATCAGCTTTTTCACCTGGAATTAAAACCAATATAGGTAGGAAGGGGCTAAACTCATTAATCCCAGAGCTTTACAGGAGAAGGAAACTTCCATGGCTTGACAGGACTGGAGGAACAGTCTTTTTCTATGATGATTTTTCCAAGCAACTGTGGAGGCTTCAGCACAATTGGGTAGATTGGGTTGTTCTCGGTTCTAGTTGCACCACGGCTAGCCAGTATCAGTGGGCATTGCTTGAGCTCCAGGGACAGGGGAAAACTGAAGAGAGCATATGAATAAAGAACCCAAATCAAAGGTTTCACATTTGTTTCCTTGCCTGAATTCTACATGATTTTGTGTCAAGGGAGAATAATAAAGGTTTCATTATATAAGAAATAATAAACATTGCTCACACTACATATTCAGCTGAATTTAGTAAGAATCCTGTACTTTAAATGACTAGCAGTAGGGAGAATTCAAGATTTTTCTTTTTCAGGCAATTACATCTTAAAATCCTTCATCAGTTTCTGTGATGATAAAAGGTAACGTGGCCTCTATAATTTGAGATGAAACTGGCCATGCCCTCCTCTTCTGCATGTTCACCATTCCCAAGCAGTGTGAAAAGAGTAGTCTTCACCACTACAGGCAACATTTAAAGGTAGAGGTATCCAACCCAGTAGACCAGGTTAAACAGCAAGAATGATGTAGGAAAAAAGACCCTTGAATAGGAGTCCAATTCTAAGATGTCTATGTGAATTCGTCCTCTCCGCCATGAACCTGATTTACATTCTTCGTAACAACAGAAAAAGCTCTGGCAGTCTTTCCCATCCAGACACTCATAGACACAAGCCTCTTCAAATTCTTGCCAGTACATGGCATTGTTCAATGTGATGACTGTAGGTGGTGGTCTCATATCAAGTACAGAATAGTTCTGGGGAAAGAAAACAGATTAAAAAGAAACCTTAGCTTATATAATCAGCACTTATAGACATGGTGAAAGAGAGGCTGAGCATGTGCAACTGATGCTTTTGGACTTTTAGATTTAGATATCAACTTATTTATTACTAACATATACCTTTGCAAATGTATTTTGATACAGTGATTATGATATGCAGTGGCCACCTAAATGAATTTTCAGGGCATATTCTCCATGGGCATCTCAAGTGTTCACTTACACAATCAGTCTATCATCTGCAAAATCAATTGCTGCTTAAGTTATTTAAGAATGGTGTTACAGCAGTAACTAGGATGTGGTCATCAAATACATGACTATACTAGCTATTTTCCAGAGGACCCTCACATGCAGTCATTCCTGTTAGCAAATACAGCAGTATTAATGTCACCTAAGCTTAGAATGATGAAGAGTAACCAGAAAAATACCAAACAAACAAATACATTCATACATAAGTGGAATAAGACAACCATTATCAGTGCCAACTTTCATATTAACATCACTAGACACTATGGCCACATCCAGATGAGCACAGCCATGCAGTATGTAGTATTGTAGACACACCTGCAGTGCCACATACTGCACATTCAGTTGTTCTCAACATTGCAACGGAGCAGCACTCAAGGTTTTTTTGACCTCTGAATATCCAGGGGACAAAAAACCCCATGGATAATAAAAAAAGAGGAGTGGCACTACCCAAAGCCAGATCCTGGCCAGCTGGAGCTGCACTCTGCTGCTGGCTAGGCTCCGCGTGGCAGGAGCAATGCAGCTGCAGCCCCGTGAGGCCCTCAGGTAAGGCTGCTGGGGCCAGTCCAGTGCTGGCCCCAGCTTCCCCTACCTCACCCAGGGTAATTTGCCATGTGGGAACCAAATGTCCACACCATGTGTGAACATGGCCTATCTTATAGCATTATTCTAATAATACACAGAACCAGTGACCCCTCAACTTCAAGGCTCTACACAGTTCCACCTCCACCTTCACTCTAACTCTAGGCTCTTTCTTTTGTCTTTATATTGTCTGCTATTTATATGCTGTCTCACCATTTTTTTTTCATGTAGTTCCCTCACCTGTAACTGGCTCTTCCTCTCTGTGCACCAAACACCCTCCCCCTGCAAATTTTACCTCTTCTAGAGAAATTAGTGGAAAGACTCATATCAACTTCATTGACCTTTAAATCAGACTCAAAAAGAATGTACCCAATTCTTGAGGTATAAAAAAAGGAAACAAGTTGCATGGTTTCACCTTGTTATAATGCTTTAGAAGAACAATTTTATTTTCTCTTGTTTTTCTTTTTGTCATCCCTACAACCTCTTTTGCCAATTGCCCTTTAATACTAAATTAGTATTACTTATTATTATTATTATTATTATTAATATCAGTATTATTAGTAGTGCAATATTAGTGTGTTGTAAATATGACTAATATTAATTATTAAGAAATAAAAGTTCTCATCGGTGTATCACCATCCACATCAATACTGCTACATAAACAACAACAACAGAATTCAATATAATCAATATTATATACTGCTACTATGTGAAATCCATTTTAGCTCTAGGAACCTTATATTTGTATAAAATTCCACCATACCTGATTGTAATACAATTCAGTAGCAAAATCTATAGGTAAGGCACAAGTGGAGTTTTGTTATACCAACCTTTCTTTTCCACATATTTGGGATTTCTGAAACTTTCTACTTTGGGGCTGCGTTTTCCATGCCAGCCCCAAATTAGTATTTTTTTTAAAGACTTGAGGGAAATATTTCCAGTTAACTTAAATTGAAAAGAATATATTCAGTATTCCAAAAGTTCCTTACAGAAAAAAAACAACAAAATAAAGCCTCTTTTTGCCCATTAGTAGTCCAGTTTTTCTGTTGTGTCAAGTTTCTCCTCAGCTCTGAAAGCAGAGGAAAGGCCAATTTAAGAATAGATTACCTTTTTTTGGATGTTTTAAGCTGTCAATTGGTGGTGCTTCTAAAGTTACTGGGTGAATCTACATGAGATGCTTTACTTCAGATTAGCACAAATTACTGTGCTGTAGGATCACTGTCTAAATGTGCAGAGGTTTACTATGCAGTAATTTGCTGGGAGCTCTCTGCATGGGGACTGTTTTGCACTGATCCTAGAGCTGGCTGGGACCTGTCTCTGACCAGGACAGTTCCCAGCCAGCCCTGGGCAGCCCTGGGCTGCCTGGGGAAGTCTTCACACACAGACTGGAGGACCTCCAGGCTGCACATTCAGACTTGGGGGCTATCTGGGAATTGTCCCAGTTAGGGGCAGGTCTCAGCCCCATGCCCCAGTTGAGCAATCAAAGTGTGGGGCTGGGAAAGAGCTGCAGGGGAGGGCAGGTCCTAGGCCCGTGCCCCAATCTGCCAGTGGGGCAGTTAGCAGTGAGCCCCCAGCTTGCTGCTAGCTGTATTCCCTGCCCAGCTGGAGACTTGCTGCTAGCTGCCCCACTGGCAGATCAGGGGAGGAGGCTGGGACCTGCCCTTCCCCTGCAGCTCTTTCCAAGCCCCCTGACCTCAGTTGGGAAGCTGGGGCCGGGAGATCCCTGCTGCCAGGGGAAGGGGAAATTGGCTCCCCACGGCAGCTGGTAGCTCCCAGGGGCAGGGAGCAATCTTCCAGCAATCTCTTGTGCTCCCTGCCAGCACCTGAGCTGTCACCCAGGGGGAACCTAGAGCTCTTCCTGGCTGCTGCAGACAGCTGGTGCAGTGCCAAAGCGGGTGGAAGCAGACTGCTGCCAGGAGCAGTAAATCTGCTCCCACATCCTCGCACATGTAGACACCTGCCTGGGGTGGGTTTACTCTAGAGTAACCTACCCTGCAACATTTACACGTGTCAGTGTGTTACTATGTACCAAATGGGATTAGACAAAGCACAGTACTCTCTAGCTTTACAAACTTGTGTAGATCTTGCATCTACGCCACATAAAAGATCCTCCTGTAAGGAAAGCCCCATGTGCCTAGATCCAAATCCAGTGGCTTTCCAAATCCAGTAATTAAAAAATAGCTGAGCAAATTAGTTCTGTGCATGTTAGACATGGCATTCTCTACAAGGAGGTAAAACTTTTTTTAAAATGCTGGGGGAGGGCAGGGAAAAGAAATTAGGATAGACTTGAAAAATTACTATCTCATAGTCAGCACTCACCTGCTAGGATTATAGGAGCCTAATAAAACCCATCTCCATCAATAGCAGCACTACAATGTTAAGAAAGATGCATCTTTTCCACATCAACCCTCATAAAATCCACTATTTCATTTATTTTTTGGTATATGTACTCTTTAAAAGACACAGTACAAGCACACAACTATTAAAAGCTGCTTTATCATCAAAGGCAAACGAAAACAGTGGGTGAATAAATTGCAGTTATTTGATCTCTCCACAATTTTTCTACATTGAGCACTTTATTTCCCCAAGCTATATATTTTCATTTGGAGCACTTAAATTCCTATCTTTTTATTTGCTGTGACGAAGCTATCAGAATACTAAGGTAACATTTCACAAAAGCACCTTCAGTGAAACGATAGCAGCAGCAAACAAGACCACATCATTTTCTCAGTCCATTCATCTCAAAGGTGTTAATTTCAAACTCAGAATTTTTAAATAGTCACATTAGAAAGGGCATCGCTTTTTCCCCTTTCTTTTCTTCAGGAAAAGGTTATTCTATTTTAAAAGCTAATGTTAACAATTAGCTATGTTAAATTAGAAACTTAAACAGCCCAAACCTCCAGATATGAAAAGGTCTAGGTCTTATTCTTTGCAATATATTTAGCTGTATCTGTCACATATAAATCAGAATATTCAACCATGTAAGATTTCCACACTGTTCATCTATAAATTGTATGTGTAATTCACATACCACAATTGTGCATTTAGAAATAACTAACTAGAAGCAATGACCCAATTTGGGAGTGAAACAGCATTAAGCTGTGCTTGAAAATTGTTTGCCTTCACTATCCAAAGAATAGTTTAAAACTTGTACAGATATTGTATTATGTACAATGAAAATGAGTTAACTTTTTAAAACTAATTATTTCTTAGTTTTTGGGAATTTTAAATTCATTAAATGTGTTTAGGATTTTTTAATATCTATTTTTATATTATTTTTATAAAGCAGATATGCAAAATGTTTTGGCAAAGAATAAGGCACAACAGAAGATGCCAGATTTGATCACCCTAAATCACTTGGCAAGTACATATAGCAAGAGGCAGCTCTGTTGTTCCTCTTCTATTGCCCAAAACAAACTGACCTTTTAACAAAAAAGAAAAACATTCACAGTTAGATCAGGTACAGCATGACATGACATTAAAGCTTCCTCCATGGATATTTTGAAGTGGGTGTCAGCAATTTGACATGCTTCCTTTACTGTCCTTGAATAAAATAGTGTACTTACCATCATATGACCAAAACTGACATCAGGTAGCTTAAATAAAACAAGAGAATTATTTAGAAGAATAAAACATTTTCTTTATAGTCATCTAGGTTTAATAACATTTCTTAAAATACACATTAAAAAGTAGGAAAATCACACAGAAGTTTAATACTGATATTTTTCATTCGAGAATCCTATCATGACCTAATTAAGTTAATATATTTAGTAGAAAATAGAAAGCTTTTATTCTCATGTTACTTAAATTGTCACATTTTCAGTTACTACATCTCATTGGTGTTGCATCACACCCTCATTTAGATTTGTATGCCTTAAAATATAACCACTTCATAATTATCATTTTCTATACTCATCCTTCCTCATCATTCACTGTCATTTTTGTTTGCTCAATGGCCACTTTTTATCATGCTTTGGAATTCCTTTTGGAAGAATTCTTCCTGTTGTAACTTTCACAAGCAGTGCACATTTACAAAAATCCACTATATATGTTTAAAAGATTTTTAAAAATAGACTTATAGATATCTGAGCCCTCTATGATTATATTTTTTTATTTATATGCTCCTCTATTGCTTCATTAACCTATTTGCTTTTCACTCACTCATGGCCTGTGTGGCAAAGTGGGAACTTACCGACCAGCCACAGTGCTAATCTTCCACCTGTCTCTGGGCATGCCACCCATCTCTCTCCTGTCATGCCTTGTTGTTAAATGATTAGGGTCTTAATTAGGTGGGAGGCTGCTCTTTGAATGATGCCCTGTTCTTCTGGGCCTATGTATGTAGCTCCAACCACCCCTGTACTGCATCCCAAGCCTCGCAGATATTCCTAACACCTGTGCTCTTCTCTGGCCTGAGTCCAGGCCCATCTCAGAACAGTGTTAGGCCTCTCACATTCTGCCCTATTATGGACTGCACTGGCACCGCCTCCCTCTCATTGAGGCCTCTCTCACTCCCCAGAGTAGCGGGTACCCCACTGGTGCTCCGCCACACACCTTCCACCTTAAAAAAAAGCATCCTCAGGGTATTTTCCCAGCTGCCTTCACTGCTGGCTCTTCCCTAACCAGCTGCAGTCCAAGTCGCATGACGAGCACCCCAACCGTGCCCCACCATAGCCTGTTATTTCCCAAATCCTATCTTTTCCCATATTTACGCCCTCTTTTTTTCTTTTTCACAAAACAAACAAACAAAAAGAATCCCCCACAAAGCAGTGCCTTCACGCTTGCAGTTTCCTCATGATTTAAATGTGTCCCTTTCAAGTAGTGCAAATTCTGTACCAGAGGAAGGCAGAAAGAATGTATTCTATGGGTCATTAATTTAAAAGCAAAATGTTGGTTGCTTGTCACTTAGGGTTAAAATAAATCCCAGGGAAATGGATTGTTTAGCTGTGGCAAGGGACACACTACACATTGTACAATTAAATTAGTTTCACATGGTTCTGCTATTCATAAATTAATTCTTAAATTTGGGTATCTTATCTGCCTGCAGACACATGCTCACTTCCGTGCCATCTCCAAGCAACACCCCCATTCAGACTCTTCACTCCACCTCTCTCTTCTCTCTGTCTTAAGGAAATTGATCAAGAATACATCTACCTCTAATTTTCTTTTTTATACAAACAGACCACAAATTCATTTTTTGCAGTCTGCTCAATTTCTGCAGGCTTCCCACATTTGTATTTTCTTACTGTGTTCATCCTTACTGCAACTCAGTTTTTTTTTTTATTGGACTGACCTTATGATATACCCCAAGATCACTTCTGTCTCCTATTACATTCCTCCCCTTCAATTCTAGATACCTGTGCCACATCTACATAGCCCCTGAGTCACTCAACTTTCTGTAGACAGAGGAAGAATCATTTTCTGCACTACATTCCATACAATTTATTAAAAATCTGAAATGATCACATCTTACCGACTTTTTCTTCTTGGTACAGGTTGGCTTTTTGCAGCTTGAGTAGTAATTGAGGGTTGCATACTCCATCAGAGCAGCAAAGACAAATAAAAAGCACACAGTCACAAAAAGATCCATGGCTGTGACATAGGAGACGCGAGGTAAAGACTTTCTTGCAATGGTACTCAAAGTTGTCATGGTCAATACTGTGGTGATACCTGCACACACAAACACACAAAAAAAGAACTAAAGTCCACCCAATAAAACTGAACTCAGTGGTCTGTTGCTAACATAAAACACAATAGCAAAGCCACTTGTATATTGCACAAAACATTTTAAAGGAAATAATATTTTTTCCCTTAGATGTTTCAAATTTTCTATGAGAAACTGAAATCTGCCACATTTTTCCTTTCCATTTTCATTCCTCCTCCCTATTTGTGACTCATCCTTTATCCAGTTCAGTGGCAAAATATAAAATAGAAAAGGGTAGAAAAAATTAGTAAAAAGGGGAATAAAAAACAGGTCTTTTATTATTAAAAACCCTGAAAAAATATTGATGGAAATAATATGTCCCTCACAAAGCTTTGTTTTGTTAAATAATCAGTGTTCAACAACAACAACAAAGAAAAAAGAAGAGACCAGCTAAAGCTATCAATAGGGATGCAGACATCAAGAAAAAATGGATCCAGAAATAGAACACAATTGACATCATTAGTACATTTCTCATCACAGACCTAACAATTCCTCATCTAAACCCACTGGCTTTGCTTTACCAAAGCAGAGCTAGACAACATTAAACAAGGTTTGTACTGGATAAGGTCAATGTAACTACCTACTGCATAAATATAATTTTATTAAGACCCCAAGTCTGTGTGTAGCAAAATCCAAACTATGACACACATCATGGAGGAATGTCCTATTTATTATTTTAGTGGTTGTACTGAAGACCTGCACCAGGCTACTGATGATGCTCTGCAATCAATATCAAATCTAAAACTGTCACTCTAGTCTTATCCCTCAGTGTTATTGTTTATAGGTTGTCTACAGGTTATTTATAGCTTCTTCTGTCATTCAGTTGCTGTATTTCATATGAATAAATAGAGGAATTCATCATGATCTATCAAACCTGCAACTGCTAATACACTAAACAACTACTGCACTCAAGAGGAGTGCCACCTTGGTCAAAGTCTTTAGTAGTCAAGGCTAGTAGCAGCTGGCCTTTAGAGACTGGAAGAAAATAGAAATGTATATGAACTTCAACTCTACCTTGAATGAAATATGGGTTTAGTTCAGAATCCCTACCAGTAATCTAGTACTTTAAAGGATGGAGTGATAATATAATCTAATGTGAATTCTCTTGATGTAAAGTATGTTGAAACCCAACAATATAGGGTATAGTGGAATTGAAATCTGTGGATGCTTCTACACATGGGCCTTACTGCGGAGCTGACCAATTAGTTCTGCAGTAAAGTGTCACTGTCCACACGTGCTGGTATTAGAGTGCAGTAAATTAATTAACTCTCACATAAGAGAGTACTCTTAGGGACAGTATATTTTACAGTGGAATAATTATTTGAGATCAAACACTCATGTGGATGGTGATTGCTGAGCACAAGTTGTGCCTTTTTAACCCAACCAGCCAGCGGCCATACCCGCAGCTCCTCCCAGCTGTTCTGTCACCTGATGCCACTACACAAAGCCCAGGGCTGACCTCCTGTGTCCCCTGCCAGCCTTGGGCTGCTCTGCCGTGGCTCTAATTGCTGCGGTCCCAGGCACACTTGTAGACACTGCACCTGAGAGCAGTTAACTCCGATGTGAACTGCTCTGAAGTTTATTGCATTGCCTTAATAGCATATGTACATGCACCCTATGTGTTTGTCTATGCAGTTAGTTATGTGCATTTTTAAGATATGGAAATTGTTCTTACTGTGACAGGTTTTTTTTTCCATTTTTAGACTATTACTGTCAGTGCTTTCCTTGGGGATTACAAAGCTTTTACACAAAAATTAGAAACTTCTTTGTGGTTTGAAAGAATTTACAGTAACCATTGAAATAAGATGGAAACTGCTGAAAAACATTGTTTTGTATGAAATTACTTTAACTATAAAAGTATTTTGCAGAGCATGTAGCATTTGACATGTCAAACAATGACAGAAATTACGTTTCACAGTAAAATCACTGAGCAAACAGTACTCTGCAAGTACAGCAGTATATACAGATTACTTATCTTCATAAAAGTGTGCTAGTACTTGATCTGTAATGTTTGATGTGGACTACTAAAATCTCAATACAGATCAAAACTTCTCTTCAAATCCTATTCAATATATTTAAAAAATCACAGGGAGAGCCAGTAACATTAAGCATTAGCAGAAAGTTTACATTATCAAGATCTAGATGTCTACATCCTACAAATGGTAAACTTAGTGTGGACAGACATAATAATTGATTTGTTCCAAACTGTTACTGACTGGGAAGAATTCTCAACTGAATTGTTCCCAAAGGTCAGTGATTGGGATCAGGTTCTCAACTGTGTGAAGTTCTGTGGCTCTGATACCAGGAGGTGGGAGTGAATATCTAGCTCAGTATTCCCTGCAATAGATGAATGTGGGATCAGTGCTTGCACCTGTGTTTTGGGAGTCCTGGGGTGGGGTTGGGGGGGAGATCTGTAGCTGGTGGTGTTTTCACTTTTCTGCTTTCACTTCTCCCCCAAATTTAAGCTTCATAAATTTCAATACCTTACAGTTTCATAGTTGTTTCATAGTTGGTAGGGTCAGAAGGGACCTGAGCAGATCATCAAGTTGGACCCCCTGCCATTGCAGGAAAAAGTACTGGGGTCAAATGACCCCAGCAAGGTGTTTGTCTAACCTCCTCTTAAAGACCTCCATTTTACTGGAGTCTGCTGCATCCTTGTCTGAATTTGGGGTGGTGGGGAGGGGCGAAAGGGGAAATTCACATTTTTTGCTTCCCAGGGCTGGAGGGGGAACATGATGAGGGGGCTGCAGTGGAATAGGAAGTGAGGACACATCTGTTCCTTGAACAAGCTCATTGATTAAAAAAATTCCAGCAAAAGGAAAAATAAAAAGAGGAGGGGGGCAATAGCATTCTGGCTGAGTACCAGTTGCAACAGTAAGGGATGATGGGGGGGGGGGGGGGGGCAGGGGGGGGGG